TCTTTATTGGATCCTTAGGGAAAAATGTGGATCTTTCCGGCTCTCCCTTGGGGTGTGCTCGACGGAAACCGACCGTTGTAGCATGCTTACGGGGTGCTTAGTGTCTGGTGGAAGACGAGCGTCTCTGTAAGTGCGTTATTTCGGGCGGTTCTACCACATTCTCTTCCTCTGCAAGCATGGCAGGCCACAACTCACTCGTGCTCTCAAACACCCTATCTCTCAACCCAACTCTTTAGATTTCCCACGGACCGCACAAGCCTCACAAAGAGGGAGAGGGGAGAGATTCTTTGGCCTCTAAAAGATGTTCTCTAGGTGAAAGAAGAGCAACCACAAGAGGGGCGAGGGAGTTTAAATACTAGCTTTCTTAGATCTAACCATTATAGTGCTGGAACGACAATTTTCAGACATCTGGTCAAGACCAGGCATCCAGAAACTACAGGCAAAAGTCAAAAAAATATTTTGAAGAATATTTTTGTGGACATCCGAAAAACATTTCTAGACATCCAAAAAACGTTGGCAGGAAAGAAAATGAATTTTTGAGTCAAATTTCTGGACGCCCGGAAACAAATACCAGACATCCAGAAATTGCTGTGAGGAAAATAGATGATTATTGTTATCAATTTTTGAATGTCTGGTCTATATACCGGATGCCTGGTCTTGGCTGGGACAAGTCATGACCAGATATCTAGTTAGGACCAGATATCCGGTTTGGCCTCTCAAATTTTAGCAAGAAAACTAAAATGCCCAAAACTTTTGAAGAATATTTTTGTGGACATCCGAAAAACATTTCTAGACATCCAAAAAATGTTGGCAGGAAAGAAAATGAATTTTTGAGTCAAATTTCTGGACATCCAGAAACAAATACCAAACGTCCAGAAATTGCTGTGAGGAAAATAGATGATTATTGTTATCAATTTTTGAAAGTCTGGTCTATATACCGGATGCCTGGTCTTGGCTGGGACAAGTCATGACCAGACATCTAGACATCTGGTTAGGACCAGATGTCCGGTATGGCCTCTCAGATTTTAGCAAGAAAACTAAAATGCCCATAACTTTTAGGATTGAACTTCAATTTTGATGATCTTGGACATTCCCAAAGGCTTATCTAGAGGTCTATTCGTCCCAACGAAGAACAAGCTCCAAGATATACATGTGAAAGTGTTGTGACATGTGTTTCTCTCATGTTAGCACTTGGGTTTCAGTTAATTTGAGCAGTTGAGACATATCAACTATTCATGTTGCATCCCTCTTAATAGTACGACATATCTATACTCAAGATCAAAACGATATATTTATTTCCACCACTTGAGTCTTCAAAATCTTCATATGCCATTTTTTGCAATCTTCAACATTTGAGGGTGGCAACTATCTTTGTTTCATTCTTTTGAGCAAATCCACCTTGAGCTTGTGACTTGAACCATTTCCAAACATATGATTTCACTTAGTAGCATCAAGTCACTTTTCCAATGTAATTCTACAATGATTTGATCCTCCTCATAATATGACTTCCCATATCTTGACTTGTGCAATACTCAATGCAAGTACTTACTTATTCACCTTAGCTTTGGACCATCGGCGCCCAAAGCCATCACTTGCCCTTCACCTTTGCTTAGTTACTTGAAGCTCTTTCCTATCTTCACCTTTCAATCATCCCAAGTCACATGATGATTTGAACCGACTTAGCCAAATTTAAGTGTCAACATAAAAAGAAGGATTAGTGTGTCATGCTGCCTGGCACTTGGAGTCATCGTATAGAACCAAAACAAGTGCTTAGATAGAGTAGGAAAAATATATATGTGATTGTTTGCTTGTATTAATCATAGACTATATTAGACCCTATATACAATATAACCGAAGCCACCATAAAACATACTTCCCCTGTCCCAAAATAAGTGTCATTCTCGTTTCCCGATGAGTCAAATACTATTAACTTTGACCAAATATATATAAGAAAACATTAATATTTATAGTACATAATTAGCATCATTATATAGATCATTGAATATGTTTCCATAATAAACTTATTTGGAGACACAGATGTTGTTAGGGCAGCTCCAATAAGACTTTTAAGCTAGTTCTAAACATTTTTGTCATATTTTAATAGAAGAAAGAGAAAAGCTAGCTCTTAATCAAGAGCTAAGCTCTTGTACAATTTTTCAAGGTTACGTGAGAGTATTATGTGGGGTTGTTCATGTTAAGAGCTATGTGCTAAAAGTTAGTAATGTTTGAGAAGTTATCTTAGAGATAGTAATTAGCTCTAACCATTGCGGGTGCCCTTAATATTTTCTATAAACCTAGTTAAATTTATGAAAGTTTGACCGGCATGAATACCATAGCAACACTTATTTTGGGACGGAGCGAGTATACGATGTCATAGTGTTTAGTTTGGACTTACATGCAAGTTATATTTAGTAAGATTATGTTATGTTGCAGGTAGTCATCTTCATGTTCTAGTGTACTCCCTCCATCCTGCAAATAGTATCATTCTCATTTTTCAAGAAGTCAAACATTTTTAACTTTGACCAAATATATACAAAAAAAATATTAATATCCATGGTACAATTATCATTAGATTAATCATTTAATATTTTATAATAAACTTATTTAGAGATACAAATGTTCAAATGTTTTTACAAACCAAGTCAAATTGAAGTTTGACCAGCACGAAAACCTCTGCAGACACTTTTTTTTTTTTGATGGAGGGAGTAAGTCTCACGTGTGTAGGAGATGTGAGGAAGGTGGGGAGGTTACATTTGTTTGTCTGATCGGCACGTGCAAATCTGAATGTCTAATACGGACAAAATCTAGCATACTAATTAATATTGCATTGGCTTGCTCTAAGCATTGTGCAGCATTAGAGCGTGAGCGGACAATCGAGCACGGATAATCTACACAACATAATTATGGATAAGCTAGTGCAAGCAACCAAATAGGTCCATACGAACAAGAAGAGAAACACAACATGTCGTTCCATAGGATTATCTCAGTTTAATAGGAATCCTAAAAGTTCAACTATTGTTTAAAAAGGCACCATACATTTTGATATTGTTCCAATATTTACTACTCCTAAAATTTCCCTTTATTTCGTAGGCTTAAGCTCAAAGGGCGCCATAGACTGCTTTGGGTTTAAATCCTTTAGGGCCCATTAGAATAAAGGATTTACAATACACAGAAATAAGAAAAACATGGGAATGAAATATCCTAACACTTCAAATTCTACATGATTTCAGAAGAAAGAAAAGTTTAGAATTATGCCTTTAGAAGCAATGTTGAAAAAAAATAAAAGGAACAAAACAATGAAAGTTGGAGTTCATGTTTAGCCTAGGATTTATGAAGGAACTTTGTACGATTGTACTTGGAACAAAGGATTGACCAAAATCCTACAAAATTCTTATGGAATGGTTTAATCCATAAATTTTTTTATGGGAATCTAACATGTGGGTTCAACCCCTTAGAGACTTTCATTTGTGCATCTCTCTCTTCTGATTCATGTGTTTCTCTTGTATTGTATCCAAATGCTCTATTAGAAACTTTTTCTCCATTGGCCAATTCCTATAAGATAGCAAGTAACATGCAACTCTAGTACTATATTTTTTCTATTCCTATGTGTTTTGAGATCCTGTGTCCCAAATAGGCCCTAAGAATGGCCTAATCCATAGGAATTTCAAAGAAATTATTAGGAAGCATTCCTTTGTTCCAAAGGGTAGCATAGGAATTTTCCTATCAAAATTGAATCCTTCAAAATTCCTTTGTTGTTTCTTCGTTCCAAAAGGGGCTAAGAATATGTTCCCCCCTTTGTTTCAAAGGACTTGGCTCTAGTTGGAGTCCTCATTCATCGAAACTGAAATGCTAAGGAATATCTTCCTCGGTCATCTCATGTTATTATGGGTGTGTATGGATTTCGGCCATAGCTCACCTCGCCCCAGTTCGTAGGGCAGCTGTTTGGTTTACGCGTAGACGGAGGCAGCCACAAGAACATCACACTCATTTGCCGCCACTCTTTGTGGTGAACAATTTCGACACCACCGCCACAACTCTCCCCAGCTTTGGCGTAGTGAGGCCATAACCAAACATGCCCTGTACGAGGCTGTTCGGCTGGCTGGCCAGCCCACTCACAAAATCACTGTTCACGTGACCAGTGTTTGCAGACTGAACAATATTTTTCTCTCACAACAATCAGTCGGAACAGTATTATGACTTATTTTTCAGTCCTGCCGAACCTGACATATGCCTGAACATTTACTCCAAGGATAGACTCGTTAGGCCGGGCATACGCGGTGGTGCACCTATTCGTTCAGGAGAGAGGCAACCACGTCAGCAAAATAGAATAGTCCACTCGTAACCCTTCTTTCCCACTAGAGATGCCCTTCTCGGGTTCAATAATTTTTCTAGCAATCAAAAGCACTCAAATGGTGATGGTGTAACAATATGTATAGTAGTATAATATAAGCATCTGAATCTGGTCCCTGTCCTTGGCAAATTAAAAAAAAGAGCTACAAAGCGTGCTTCTTTGAACTTTTAGTTTGGCTCTGTTCGGCTGGTTTATAAGCCACTTATGCTGATTTGTAAGGAGAGAAAAACACCGTAGGATAGCTGAAGCTGGCTTATTAGAGCAGCTGAACCGACTCTTTATTTTGTGAGAAAGGAGAAAGACGATTCCCGTAAGTTGGAGCATGAGCCATCAGAAATTATGACAAACGGACACTAAAATCCGTTGTTACATTGGTCGACACCAGCGACTAGTTAATTACTGTACTACATAAAGCAGCCATATTAGCAGTAGCAGGTTACACCTTTACACGACAACATCGGTTCCCCAGTTAAACCATCAGAGTGCCTCTAGAATCGTGCTTTCCTAGAAGGCCATTATGTTAAGCAACTGAGTAATTAGGTAAGCAAACCACGCTAGAACGAACTAACTAATCAAACCTTGGGAGCCATGGAGCCAGCAGGTACTTGTTTGCTTGGCTTGTTCCGGCCCCTCGTCGCCGCCGGCCGCCCTAGCGCCTGCCTCCAGCGCCGGCGCCCATCATCTTCTTGAACTCGTCGAAGTTGACACTGCCGTCGCCGTCTGCGTCGACGGAGCGGATCATCCGGGAGCAGTCTGCGACGGAGCACTTGTCCCCGAGCTGGCGCAGGACGCGGTGGAGCTCCCGCGCGGAGATCAGCCCGTTGCGGTCGGCGTCGTACATGCGGAACGCCTCCCGCAGCTCGGCCTCGGTGGCGTCCTCCCTGCCCTCCCCCTCCTCCTCCTCCCCGTTGCTGCAGTGGAAGGCGACGAACTCGGCGAGGTCCACGAAGCCGTCGCGGTCGGAGTCCATCTCGTCCATCATGCGCCGCACCTCCCCGGGCGCCGGCGGCGCGCCCAGCGCCCGCAGCACGGACGCCAGCTCCTCCGCCGAGATCTTGCCGTCGCCGTTGGCGTCGTAGCGCCGGAACACCTGCTCCACCTCCGCCACCGGCATCCCCGGCCCACCTCGACCCGCCGCCTTCGCCTTGGCCGAGTCCCCGCCCTTGACGCTCGCCATGGTTGGTCGCTCCCTCCCTCGCTCTGTGTCTCCTCGAGTCTTCTCTACTCCTTGTTCCTTCGTCTCCGGGCTCCACCTTTTTTTATCGCAAGCAGCCTGGTTCTTGAGTGGTGGCAGGCCGGCATTCGCTGTTGCCTGTTGGAGTGGGGGCAGCGGATCCCGACGCGGTTAGGAGACCGCGTGAAGCAAGCAGATGAGTCGCGGTCATGGCAGCGCCCACCCATGGACACGGACGCAACCACGCAAAGGACGATGCGATGCGGTCGGCGCTCCCCGCGTTCTGTCTGTCGCGGATCCCGCTCCCTGGCAAGCATGGCCCACGCAGCCAAGCACATGGCGGGCCCAGGGTCAGCCGGATTTGCACGCCCACGTGTCGGGCATCCGCGGTGTGGGCTGCCTTTTGTCCGCTCTTCCTTTTCTTTCCTCCAGACGATTCTGTCACGAGGGGCCGTGTATCTCAATCTAGTCTGCCTGGCCAAAGTGGTCTCGATCTCACCGACACGCGGGTCCGGTACGTGCTTAAGATTATACGGGCCCAAGGGCCATGAGGGTGCGTTGCGTTGCGGACGCGTAGAGGAATGTACGTGACCCGAACCTGCAAATGCACTTACTGTAATATATACACGAGGTTATCTGGGTAGACCTGTATGGACACAGGATGTTGTAACTTTACAAGAAAACTCTTTCAATGTCATTGAAACATATAGCCATCTTTTATGTGCAATAAAAAAGAGCTATTTATTGTGACCAACAAAAATGCCGGTGTGTTGCTACAGGATGTATAGTTTATAGTCACTTGAAGGACATAAAGCTCCGAAGATTTATTCAACTATTTCATCATGTGTTTTTATTCATCTTGAACCAAACTCTATAACATGTCCGGACACGTTCTACTCGCATTCATATGGACAAAGGACGCTTGAAGATTTATCCATTGATTGGGTCCTGCGTTTCAATTTATATTGGGATCGAACTTCCCATCGTGTCTTGACACATTGCTCTGACTCGTAAAAGTAGGGGAGAGAGCAAATGATTAAAAACTCCATACCTTAATATTAGTATATACTACTTTTCTTTGGAAAATATAGTTCATATTTGGAAATTCATCCAAAGCATTTTCTTCCCATACTCAAAAGTAGAGATCAGACAAACAAAATTTAATGATTTACGTGTGTCTCTTCTACTTATCTTGTATAAGACTCCACAATGCAATTTTTTTGTGGAGATAGCATATAGACAAAAAATATATATATTGATTATTGCTTAACTTTTGAAAAAAATATAAAGATTCGTTTTTTTGGTTATTATATTTATAACAATTAAAGAGGATAAGTTGTGCACAAAAACTAACACAACAGTAGTTTGGTGGTGAAATTTATCTTTATCTATCTATATCTCTTATAAAAACAAACCTCACTATCTTTCAATCTCCACATGCATGACACCATATGGCATACTCCACTAAGTGCCGCATCATCTCCTTAATAATTGCTACAACATTTTTCACTGAATGCAATTACTATTTTTAGTCTATCAACATGCAAGGTATCCACATTGTACTATTTCTTTTTTTTATCACATTCTCCTATAATTTAACTTAATATTGTTTTATTTTAAAGTCTCGCAGCAACACGCGGGGTATTCTTCTAGTTTGTTGAAAACTAAAGTTATGAATTTAATTCTCTATTTTACATTAGAATTTAATTCCCTCCTTTACTTACACGGAGAAAGAGAGAAAAAAAGAACGAAACAAAAAGAGACGGAACCGTAAAAAGTGAAAAAAGAGACGAAACCGTAACAACAGTGAAAAAGAACCAAACGGATAAAGAGATGGACCGGAAAACTTGTTCTTCTTTAGGATCGGACTCTTCTCCCTCTCCTTATTTGGTCACGACTCCTAGTCAGATATCAGGTGTATTTTTCCTTGGCTCGTGGAATCGACGGGAATTTGAGGATGCAGGACGCATAAGAGTTTTTGGGCTGTGTGAAAACGAAATTGAAAAAAAGAGAACACGGTAGAAAGGAAAGAGATTATAATAAGATATATAGACAAATATAGATTTATTTAGATTAGGATTCCTATTCAGTTAAGTTAGGTTCAAAGGCTTAATATTAGAATAGATAGATATAAATATTAGATAGAGATTAGGATTCCTGTTCAGCTTATTTGATAACGTAGAGTTCTATTTGGGTTTGGATTCGTAACTGTCCTGAACCTATCATACAAATCAGGAGAGCTATAGATAACACATAGTTAGTTAGGAGGAGGTGGACGAAAAAATGGTTGGACGAAAAAATTAGGCTAAAATTTTTCCTCTTTATTATTAGGTATAGATTTATTTATATTTTTTGGTGGAATAAATATTTTGGTCTCTCAACTATAGCCGGTTTAATTGTGCCTCTAAACTTTCAAAATAACCATTTTAATCCTCAATTTTTTCTTTTAAACTCAGTTTCATTATAGAACTAGAAAAGTAATCTTTTAGTCCTTAAACTTCATATTTTAAGCTTAATTTTATCCATGAACTATCAAAAAACATTTTAGTACTTAAGGGTATGTTTGGTTTGAAGATGAAGTGGGATGGGATGGATCGATCCCCTTTTTAAGAGTGTTCGATTGAGACACCGCTAAGAACAGGGTCATCCCCATAGAGAATATTTAAAAAAAACTATGTCCCTAGAAACGAGGGGACGGGTGTGTCCTTCATCCACGTTGTTTTCTTCATCTATGCTTTGTCGTGTGTTGTGCTTGTGTCGATGGAGGGCGCGAGCTCAGGTGACCGAAGTATCCAATTGGGCGGAGGGCAAGAAGGGAGAGATCAGGCACACCCGCGGTCGCCAGCCATGACAGAAGAGGGAAAAATCGAGCGCACATGTGTTGTGGGGATGGAGGGCTCCAACGAACCTCGGCGTAGCAGAGGGTGAGCTTGGCCATGGGAGGAGATGAGCTGGGCTAAGGCAAAGGCGAAGAGGCCCGACTAGGTCAAAGGCAGAGAGGCCCGAGCGAGTAAAGCTGAGTCTGTTTATGTGAAGAGTCATGTGAAGGAGACCAGATGCAGTAGAAAAAAATATATCACCCAATGAGATAATGACATGTGGGACCTGGCATTAACTATGACTCACCGTGTTAAAAATCTGGTCATCCATATCCCTTTCAATCCCTATTACCAAATAAAAGACAAGGACGAATCTATCCCCACGACCAAACACTAGAATGGGACTATAACATTAAAAAACAAGATTGAAATCATCCTATCATTTTATTGTTCCCAAACCAAACACATGCTACGTTTATCTTTTCACCTCAACTTTGTCCCCTGTTTTACATGGAAAACCACCACGTCGCACATGGTCAGCTCCAGGACCACCCGTTACTCGAGATTGATGATCGGTATCCCTGGCATCATCCCAAGTTTTCGAATCAGATATAACACACTTTCGACATTCATATCCATTTTTGAAAATAAATATAAATATAGGTCCAAATATTCTTGAATATCGGCTCGTTTGAATCCGATATCAAACTTTTCATTTCAATAACTAAACATGGTTTTTAGCTGGGGACAAAAACATATTATTTTTATTCATAGTTCGTTATTGTGAGTTGAGCTTGGCTCTAGAAATCATTAAGAGTGTTTATACCGTCCACTAATGGCGCCTTTAATCGAATATTATTTTCTTGTCGCTAATCGAGGGCAAATGGCTAGGCACGATGGTGTAGCATTCCAGGTATCTCTAACGATTGGAGAATTTCATAAGTCACATCATCCTAACATGCATTCTATTCAACATTATTCGAATAGCTCGAACGATGAAACTAAAGATTGTTTTGTTGCTCAATTTGTGGCCAGCGTAAGCTAAATCAGTTTCGTCCGCCCTTTTCCTCAAGCCGATTCACAGGAATCAGCGAGAGGAGATGAAGTTTTACATTCGATGTATTCCAAGTAAGGTCATATTTTTTTATGAAATTTTGAAAAGAATAGATAGATTAAATCTATAACTCTTATAAAGCAAAACCTCACTACAACTTTTATCTGATTCCACAGCTATCCACGTCATTAGCTAATCTAAACCATCTATTTCGTACTGTCAACTAAATACATCCGTTAATCTAGCCATTCATTCTACGGAGGCCTCACAAGCCCACGTCCAAAAGAAGGGAAACATAAAGACGCATGCCTGCAGTTGCAAGTCGATAAATACTCATGCAGTCGTGCTATAATTGCACATGCCTCATGGTTTCCAAGTCACCTTGCTAATCACAGCCGTCATCGCTTCTCCTTCCAATCGGCTCCCTTTAAATTGTTCTTCATCGGTCTAATCTGTTTACCTCCATCCTCCCTCAGTTGCAAGTAGCAGCACCCGTGCACCATGCCCAGGTCCTCCGTTGTCGGCAAATCTGAAGGCATAGAGTTTTCTCCTTTCAAAGAGAGCAAGAAGCCGACTCATCGACTCCAGTGTGCCGCGAGAGGCATGCCACACGCGCTCCCCATCGCACTGGCTCGCCGGAATGATCTCCTCGCCACGTGCAATGCCCAGCGTGAGAGCCCTGCCATACAGCCTCGCCATGACCTCCGATGCCCTCTCGCCATCCGCACACAAGCTACACCAGTTTGTTTGGATATGAGAGGAGAAAGCATATCAGAAAGCTAATGGGGAATGGATGGGGAGGAGAATCACGAAGAGATTGTTGAAGAGATAGGTTGCTTTTGGTTGGAGCCCAGCATGTAGAAGCTGGAAGGTGATCCATCGATAGTTGCCACAGGCGTGCGTAAAAAAAAATCCCATGTTTAATCACTGGCGCAGTGGGTTCTTCATGTAATGATGTAATATCATGATTATGTGCTATTGTTGATGAGGTATGATGGATGATGTATCGCGTTGTTTCAGTTAGAATGATTTCCACTTCTTCGTATCCTACCTATGTTTATCAGTTACTTAAAAAGTCTTGCCTGATCTAACAAAATGTATATATTGCATTTTAATATTTCTGATCTTTT